GCATGGCGACACATACTAGCAGATCATATCATAATATACGATACAGAGCCGTGGCGTCAACAAACAGAACATTACAGAGCATATCAGAGCAGAACATGCCAGAACAGAAGACAACATAACACAACATAACAGAACAGAGCCGAACATAACATAACACTCATTGACAGGACATATAAGACCATGGCACAGCATCACAGAAGATATCATAACCCAATATCGGAGCATAACGGCGTCGCCTGCGATAGAACACAACATGAAACAACAGAACATGACAGAACACGAGCATGACAAAACATGGCAGAACATAGCAGAATACTGCCATGACAAAACATGGCATAACAGAACATCACAGAACATACCAGGGCACAGCATGACAGAACAGAAGACGATTGAACACAACATAGCAGAACATTACCAATCATAACATAGCACACCTTGACATAACAGATCATATCATGACACAGCATCATCGAACGTAACATAACACGACAGCAGAGCATAGTGACACATACTAACAGAACAATTCATGATACAACCTAGAGAGCCGAACCGTCAACAAACATAGCATCACAGAGCAGACCGGAGCAGAACATGACAGAACACAACACGATAGAGCACACCATAAAATGACAACGCCAATCATAACATAACACACCATGACAAAACATATCATATCACACCATGACGGCATCATCAAGGCATATCATAACAAGACAACAACGCACAGCGAAACATACTACCAAAACGTATCATAATCTATCATATTGAACCGCGCTGCCAACAGCATCACGGAACAAAACATAGTACAACATAACCTGACATAACAGATCTTGCCATAGTATCGTGTCGCAGATCAAGGCATACCATAGCACGTGGTGGGCCCCGGAAACGGCAGGGCCGTTTTTTCACCGTGTCCGAAAAAAAAACCTTGAAAATGGAAACAGCTGAAAAACGGCGACCGGAAACGGCAACAAAAACGGCTCCAGAAATGGAACCGGAGCGGGAACCCGTAAAAGAACGGCGACGGAACCGGTAAACGAAAAGGCGTCGGAACCCGCAAAACAACGGCAAAACGGAACCGGTAAAGAAACGGCCCTGTCGCTTCTAGGGCCCACTGAGCCATAGCATATCAAATCATATGGTGACAGAGATGAGCGTAACATCCTATACTCAGTCAGACGAGAAATATTAATAAAGAAGAACATCATAACAAACGACGCATCTAACGTCACAAGCGTCACGACGTCACGCCAGCCCGTCGAGAACAGAACCGGAAATAATAGAGCACAACATGAAAGAACGTGACTACATGGAATACGGTCGAACCGTTTTTTGGAATCCAAAAGCGGTTGTTGTCGACCTATTAGGCGACCACGCGCCGTCGAGGACAAACGCTCAAGGTCTCGGTGGGGATCGCTGGAAGCAAAATAATTTGCAAATCCGTGTTGCGAAGCCATTTGTTGTTGTGGTTTCGGGACACTCGATTTTGGCATCCTGATGAAACCTACTGCTTTTCACTGATCAGCATGCGCACGCGACGACGCGAGCGCGTGCATTTCGTCCATTTGTTGCAAGGTGTTCTTGGAAACTGTGGACTTCTGATAAACGAGCGCGCACGCATAATACTTCTGGCTGGGGATGAGGGGGGGGCGATACAAGCATGTCTGGGATGATACGAACTCATATTTAGGACGGACGATGGGGCAAAATCATAAATAAATTGCAATACGAAAAGGGGGGCCGTTAAGTCCGGGGGAGAGGCGCTAGAGTCTACAGTTCTCTCAGAAAGGAAAGCCAGCGTGGCGCTACCTGGTTAGCGTAGCTCGCGTTGTCGTACTTGGAGTTGTCAGCTCCGCTGCTCGCACAATCCAACCAACTCACCCGCAACTTGGATTGCAAAACCCATGCGGCGGCGATTGCGCTGACTGCTTGGCGCCCGCTGGCACATCGCTGCGGCCGCGCTAGCTCACGCGCAGAGCGGCCTGCTAGTCCAGCGCAACAGACGCGGCCGCAGCGGCGCTGACCGCTGGGAACTTCCAAGCGCGTCTCACAAGCCGCGTTGATGCGCGGGCACTTCAGTGCGAGTCGGTAACTCGAGCGGGCGCGGTACCATAGCGACGTCGCCAACGGCAGACATGATGATGATAGTAGCGATGCTTGTGACGGCGACGACGACGACGACGACGATGACGACGGCAAGGCCAGTGGCGGCGCCGATGTTGATAACGCCGATGACGATGATGCTGCCCACGCGTCGTTCATGAAAGCTGTGGAAGGATTTCGACATGCGCGTGCGGCCGACGGGCGCGAGCCGGTCGGAGGAAGTGGAGAGAAACATGAAATAGTAAGACGTTGGAAGTAGATTGGGTCTCGGCCCGCCCCAAAAGAGAAGAAGTAATACCGCTCGACTCTTGAAGTAGGAAAGCGGCTACAATAGATTGGGACTTGGGCATCCAACAAAAAAAACCTAATTTCAACGACCGACGGGTAGATCGTTCCAGAGCGTTCCAGAACGCTCTCAGAGCGTTCAGGAAGGTTCTGACCGTCCAGAGGCGCCAGACGTTTTGTCCTGATCTGATAGTGACCCTGTCCGATGTTGTCCCTGTCCTGGCTTCGTCCTCAGAGGCCTCCCAGGTGGTCGCCGAGCAGATTGAATAGGAGGATCGTCCCACATCGCCGATGCATCGCTGATGCATCGCTGATGCATCGGCGATGCGGCGACGCCGGCGATGCATCGGCGCCGTCGGCGTGGAGAAAGTCGGGATCCACATCGACCGATATCGCCGGTGCATTGGCGATGCGGCGCATGCCTCCAACAACATCTGCGCGCCCCGACCGCAAGGACAATCAAGGCCACGCGGATGCTGATGCGTCTTGTGTGCCAAGCGCAGGTAGCTTTCGCCCTCTGAGGGCTCTTCAGCCTAAGTGGCACTGCGCCAAAGCATCTTCTGCGGCAAGTCGAGGGAGCCTCCCATACCATCCTATCTTCAACGCTGATCGACGCCAAATCGACTCTCATCGACGCCCATCGACGCTCATCGGCGCTAAGTCGGCACTATCTCGTCGATCACCAAACGCTAATCGACGCTAACATACTCCAAAGACAGAAATCACGAGGGTACACAGGGCTCCCATGCCTTGCTGCCGAAAAAAAAAGCATCGGATGAGGGCGACTGCCCGACGCGACGCGACACCGAGCAGCCACGGAGGCCCGGATGGGGAAACCGACGGGTACCGATGCCCCTCCTCCCCGGACCTCTCCTGGGGTGCGCTCCGACCAGAACTTCGACGCGAATCCTCTTCCTGGGGAAGATGGGGGGAGGAGGAGGAGGAGGAGGAGGAGGAGGAGGAGGAGGAGGAGGAGGAGGAGGAGGAGGAGGAAGGAGGAGGAGGAAGAGGAGGAGGAGTTGGGAGGAGGAGGAGGAGGAGGAGGAGGAGGAGGAGGAGGACGAGGAGGAGGAGGAGGGCACCCCGGGAGGCCCAAGAGCAGGGGAGGACGAGGAGAAGGCAGCCGCAGGGGTGCCTGCTCCTCCGCACCCTGCCCTCCTCTGACTGGAGTCAAGTCGGGCGTCGCCCTACAGGGGGATTCTTGGACGAAAAATACAACAACAACAACAACAACAACAACAATCATTTTACCCGAACGCGTGGTGTTCTCCCCAGTGCCAGGGTTTTCATACGACACCAGGCAATACCCCCACTTCGTGGGGGGGCATTACAAGCTCTACCAAATATCCAAACGACTCTTCGCGACCACCCAAACCCAGCTTCCCGCCCTATGACGTTGGGACACTTCACTTCGTGGCGTGCGGACGACCGTGGCTACTACACTGGCGTGGGGTACACACCCACAGAACTTGGTCACTTATTCGGGGCGCGCATGTGCCCAGCATGGTGCAATTGTGCCATACAATACATAATACAGAGAGACGAATGTGTCCCGCATGGTATTATTTGACAGGGATGATGGCCCTGGCAGGTGCGCAACCGTTGTCGCAGAAGTTCGAAAAAGTTGCTCGCAAAAGCCCGTTTGACAGAAATGTTTAAAAAGTGTTGGGTTTCCTACGAATCCGCAAGAGCGCGCGGGATGAGATTTTGACATTTTTTTGTTGAAAAACCATTGGTTTTTTGATGTTTTTATGTTAAAATCGCTCCGAACACTAAGCTTTTGGAAGGATTTCGTCTTGCGCGCGCGAATGTCCACTTTACCTTATTTTTTGCAAGGGATTCTTGAAATTTGATTATATTAGAACAAGAAATTGTCATTTTATAGTGTTTTTTGCAAGGGAAAACGGATTACAACAAAACAACCGGATCTTGATGACATCGAATTACCTGAGGCTTCCTCACGAAAATGATGAAAACGTGGCTGCGGCCTAGGCGCGGCGGGGGGGGCGCGCACCAGGGGGCCCAACAATAATTATTCTTTAGAATTAATAATGTTCAACAACAACCACAACAACACCACCACTCCAAAAATGCCCCCCCCCCGTGGGCAAGACGGGCCAAAACTCGTCCCCTGACTGTGGTCGGGCTATGTTTGAATCTTCCTCCTGTGGGGGGGAGAGGCCCGACTTTTTGGACGCCCGAAGTGGGTACTAAAACAATGGGCACACTGCCCAACCACAAATGTTGTTCCAAAATGACAGCGGCCGCTGTTGGGCAGGCGGCCCTCTGTCTCAAGTGGACACAGGCCGCGGCGGCGCGGACAGCGAGCCCTGCTCAAAACGAGGATCCGCTGTTGAGCGTTGTACCCCAGATTTCGTAATAAAGGGAGGGGGGTCTCATTTCGGGGGGGGTCTCTTCCAGGCTATCTTGGAGGGCCTGGGGGGTCTGGGGACGATGTTTTGGAAGGTTCTCCCACGGGGGAGGTCTGAAATGGCTTGTCTTGGAGGGTCCAGACCCCCTCCCTTTTATTACGAAATCTGGAGTACCCCTTCTTTCCGTGCCCACGTCGTTCGTGACTTGAGACTGGGAGTCTTGGCACAGCCCCCGGCAGCCACGGCCGTCGAGGCCTCCGCCGCCCTCGCGGCCGGCGCGTCCCCGGGGCGCGCGGCGCCCGCGCAGCGGAAGACGAGCCGCACCTCCTGCGGGCGGGGCGCGGCGGGGCGCGGCCTGCCGCGCCGAGGCGCGCGGGCGCAAAAGGGCCGGCGATCGCGCACAGCCGAAGGGCGAGGCGCGAGGGGCGAGGTGATGGGCGTGTTTTTCACCACCACCATCACCAAAGTCGGAGGGGGGGGGGGTCCTGCTCCTGCTCCTGCTCCTCCTCCTCCTCCTCCTCCCCTCCTCCTCCTCCTCCTCCTCTGCTCCTCCTGTCCTCCTCCTCCTCCTCCTCCTCCTCCTCCTCCTCCTCCTCCTCCTCCTCATCATCATCCTCGTCCTCCTCCTCCTCCTCCTCCTCAGCCATTTTGCGCCGAGCCGCCTTTGCGCCTGCAGAGAGGCGGGACGGTGTTGGAGAGCGCCAACTTCAAAGTGGCACTGCGCTCTCGAGCTGATTTATGGCCCCACGATCCAAGTCGCGGGATGGAGGCTGGGCTTGCAGCGGTTGCAAAACTCGGAATGGGGCAGGCTACGACTTCTGCTGGAAGTGCTGGAAGGTTCGAGACTCCGCGAAGACCGCGAACCACGGTGCGACCAGCACCCAGGACGATGCTGACGCCGACGATGCCACCAAAGCTAAGCTCAAGAAGTTACGGGTGCACCTGGCAGAACTTCGAAAGCATGCGGAGGACCCAGACTTGGCAAAGCACGTCCAGGGCAACATCGACATCGTACAGGAGGAGGTTGATGAGTTGCAGGCAGCTGTCGACAACGGCAGCGACATCCCTCGTTGCTTCTCGGAGTGTAAGCTCGTACGAGAGAGGAACAAAACGCAGGCACAGCGGGAGCGCACCCAGGAGCGGGTCGAGAAGCTGGAGGAGGAAATCAAGGAGGCCCAAGAGAAGCTCGAGAAAGAGAAAGCACTCTTGGCCAGACAAGATGAGAAGCTGCAAAAGCAGAACGCCCGCATCGAGGAGCTCAGCGTGCCCAAGGAAGGCAAGGGCTGGGGAGCGGCCGTGTCCTTCCTGGAACAAGCGAAAAAGTGCCTGCGCGAGCAGGAGACAGACACCAATATCGCCGAAGCCCTCAAGCACGCGCAGCAGCAGCACACCGCCGAGGAGGAGCGGGCTGCCGCGGCAGCAGCGGCAGCAGCCGCCAAGAGGGAGGCCGACGCAGCCCGCGAGGCCGCCCAGGACAAGCAGCAGAGGAACAAGCGCAGAGCCGAGGAGGAGTTCAAGCAGAAGCTGGTCTCGTTCCCCCAGAACGCCGACGTGGCGCAGATCACCAAGGTCATGCACGAGGCGGGCTGTACGGCCGAGCAGATCGAGCGCCACAGGCCTCATCTTCTTCCTCTGCTGGCTGGCATGCAGCCAGACACCTCGCTCACCATCAGCAAGAGTATGTGGACGGCCCCGCCGTCATCCTGACAAAGAGCGAGGGCAGGGGTTCTGCACAATCAGCACGAACCCCACCGGCACGCTGGAGCGCACCATGCGGGCCACCAGGTACACGCACAAGTATCGCACTGTCATGGCGAAGGAGCTGCAGGCCAACGAGCACAGCATCTCCTGCGTCATCCAACGGATGCAGAAGGAGGGCTGGAGGCCGGGCACCGTGCCGAGCGTCCGCACCGCGCGGGGAGGCTGGAGAGCACAGGTGCCCCTGGCGACCGCGCGGCCAAACAACATGAGCTACGCCAGGGGGCCCGACACGAGGGGCGACTCGCCCCGCGAGTCCAAGGGCCGCCGCGCGAAGGGCAGGATGCAGGCTATCGGCAAGGAGGGCGCCACCGCAGGCACGGCTTACCTCTGGGACAGCGAGGGCACCCCGCGGAACTTCACCACGGCCGCCGCAGGGGCGGGGAAGTACTGGATCCAGGGCGGCGACGTCGACATGGACCCAGCAGAGCTACAGCACATTGGGGTGATCAACAGGATGGAAGGGGTCATCGCGTTCGACACTTCGCGCGGCTCGCGCGTCACATTGGGGGAGGCACGGTGCCGCGACTACTTCATCATACCCAAGACGCTCCTGGACGGCCCGCCCCACGAGGCCGCGCAGGACCAGTACAACATGTCGGCGCACTCACCTGTGCCCCTACGAGTTCCTCACCTAGGGGAAGGGAAACGCTGGGCTCGGGTACTGCGGCGCCAACGGCAACGGCCACATCAGCTGCCCACAGGTCGCGCGACGGGGCCGACCGCGCGGCCGCGACCCCTGGAGCATCGCAGACGCACTCAGGAGGAAGTGGACCGCTGCGGGGGGAACCTGGGCAACACGCACGAGGAGCACTCGAGCAAATACCCCAACTACGTCGGCCAGGACGGGCAAGAGGGCAAGGGCCACCTGGTCTGCGCCCAGAACAACGCCAAGGGCATCCTTGGGAAGGACAGCATCGAGCCGCTCCTCGAGCGGGACTACCTAGCATGGCGCGCGGTGCCAAATCAGGAGGAGGGCAACGTAGACGCCATGGGCGAGCAGGAGAACTCCGACAACCTGGACGAGTTAAGCCACACAGGACGCCGAGTCGAGGGGGACACTACGAGCCTCCCAGAGAATACTCCTCGGCGGACCCCCGCTGTCCTCGGCCTCACGGCTTCGCAGGACTGCCCGTTGGTCGGGGCGGAAGCGGCAGGAGAGCGCCGCCGACCGACGGGGCGGGGGCGACGCACGGACATCGATTGGGGCAGGGTGGCGATCACAGCCGCCTGGATCGACGCCGAGCACATCACTCAGAGAGACTTGCACTACGTGGACAGCGTGGCCAAGCTCATGTGGGAGACCAACCGCATGCCCTACGCGAGGCGTTGGGGGGCGGCCAACAAGCGAGCCCATGACTGGGCGCGCCGAGGGGGATCGCGGGAACGCGCGGCACGGCCACAGGCCCTCTACTGCGAGGCCGCGCGGGCCGACGGGCACCACCACGAGGGGACCTACTTCGGCCTGATCAAGTGCTTCGAGTGGGGTACTCAGCGGAAGGTACGGGAGGCGTCGCAGCGATGGGGCGCCAACCCAAGCATCATGCGGACGGACCGCAAGCTGTACAGCGTAGGGCGGCACAGCGTCCTGGACGGGGGCTACACCGAGGGCAAGGCTGGGCAGCGGGGCATCGAGGCGGACAGCTGGCACATACCGTTCGGTCGCAAGATGGCCATCATCCTCGAGCTGGACAGGCTGGCGTACCAGGTTTTCCGGGCGAACGCGCGCCTCTTCGTCGAGGACCGCGCCGCGGCCACGCACGGCAGGCACGAGCACGCCGGCGAAGACCACCCGCAGCCCATCGCGGCCGTGAGCTATAGGTTCGAGACGACCCTGGACATGGCGGTCTCAAGCGGCACGGAGGCGAAGACGGTCACCCTGGCCTCCTCCGCCGCGGGGAGAGATCGCATCAACAAGAGGACCAGGTACCTCGGCGCGAGAGTAGTCAAGCACGAGATGCACCTGGGAGGGACTGCAACCGCATGCAGACGGAGTAGAGTGGCCGCCGTCAACAAGCGGGCGCCGAAGTTTGCAGAGAGGAAGGCACGGGTGGCAGCCGTGCGCAGAGCAGGAGGAGCGACATACAAGCTAATCCGACAACCCAAAGTGGGCGGCTCGAGGCAGTTCGGCGACTACGCACCACTGAGACGAGGAGGAATTAGCCTCACCAAGCTCAAGGACAACGGCGAGTACGACATGGATGACGGGGGCTACGGGCCCCGCCCTGGCGCGCCGCGGGCCCAGAGCATCTTGCGGGTGGAGTTCTACGCGCTGCGGCAGGCGCCGCAGGCAGGCACCCCGCCCACGTTCATCCGCACCGACAGCCAGAACGTCGTCGACGGCGCGATGGCGGGACCGTCGTGGCTCGACAAGAGGAGTCACCCGCACCTCGACCACTGGGGGTGCATCGTCCTGGCCTGGGCCCACGCGCCGCGCAGGTGCAAGAACTGAAGGCCCACGCGACGCGCGCCGAGCGAGCAGCAATCGGCTGCGCGCAATGGGAGTGCAACAAAATAGCTGACCATGCAAAGCAGGGAGCTCTGTACCATACCCATCCAGTCTGGTGTAGAAAAACCCACGTTCTGCAGTATCGGCGGGCTCAGGACATCCTGGAATTCGGAGCCTATGTAGGTATCCTGGGCCGTCACATTGTCGACACTGAGCAGGGCTCGAATCCGACGGACTCGAACCCCCCCGACCCCCCCTCCGACCTCCTGGACCTTCCTGGGGACCTTGGGGCGGTCGTGAGCGAGGGGGACAGGGCCCTGGCGGCCCCCGACCCCCCCGACCCGCCCCTGGTGGCTTTCCTCCCGTCTCGGGCCGCTCTGGACTGGGGGTGCACCAGGGTCGACAGAGGCCAGAGAGCGGGGCACAAAATCGTGACCCGTAGCGCGCATGTCTTCTGCCGCAAGTGTGCCAGGTACGCCCGCGACAGGTGGACGGGCCGATTCTCCCCATGCAGCCCTGGGGCCCAAAGGGTGATCGGGGGTAGGCTGACACGGTTGTGGAATGGACAGCACCCTTCCACAAACCAGCCCCTGTAGGGGCTCTTGGAGCTGAGGGTCTGGCTCGGGGACGGCCCGAAGCGGCCCGACGCTCCCACGGCACGAAAGCGTAGACGGTCGTGATCCGTTTTGGCCCGCATTTATCCGCACTTATCCTCCTTCTGCTCCTCCTCCTCCTCCTCCTCCTCCTCCTCCTCCTCCTCCTCCTCCTCCTCCTCCTCCTCCTCCTCTTCGTCTTCCTTTTCCTCCCTGCCCTCCTCCTCCTGCCCCCCTCCAACTTATGGTGGTGGTGGTGGAAAACAGGCTCACCACGAGGGGCGAGCGCGCGTTTTGCGCCGAGGGGCGAGGGCCGGCGATCGCGCACAGCCGGACCTGGACCTCAGTCGGGTCCGTCCCCCTATACAGGCCGATCTTGGACGAACAATTGGAAAATAGTTTTAGAACGCCCGCAAGTACTCCAGGGTGGTCCAAAACCTCGTCCCCAGACTATGTTTTCACTATTTTTGGACATTCCCCCTGTAGAGGGACAGGCCCGACTGAAACCTGGACCAGAAGAACAGCCC